AGTGTGGGGTGGTTGGTTTGGCTTTTGAGTGGAACTATTGAACTAAGAAGAAAGGTGCATTGTTTTGAAAAAGTAAGAGCCACTTGAACTGAAAAAAATAAAAGAAAAAAAATAAGTGTATGATTGTGAAAAAAAGTATTCCTTGATAGTGATAACTTGATGTAATTGTGCTTAAAGAAGTAGGGAGTTAATGTATATTGATGTGAAGGTGGAGTTATGGTTTGATATAAGTGTGGGGATTTGAATGATTAATTGTATGTATTAAAGTGCTTAGGGAGGTGTAGTCACTCTTATATCTAAATGTATCCTACCCATCCCTCAGCCTACATTACAACCAATTAAAGTCCTACTTGATCCTCGACTGAATGAGCTCAATTAGTAGAGTAGTACACTACGGGCAAGCCTATGGTACGTCTTTTGTGGCATATGAATGTTACTTCTAAGAGTGAGTGAATTCTTTCTATCTTGATTTCCTGATTGTTCTTAAATTTTATTGTGTGTGGAACTACTCTCTATTGTTGTGTGAGGGCACTTGATTTATGAAGGAGAGGTAATGTCGTTGACCTCTGTGTTAGAGTAAGTGAGCAGGTTGTGAAAAATGTGTGGTGCTTTTGAGTCAAATCTTGAGGCGAGGATGTTACGGTATTGTGTTTAATCTGTTTTAAATATTCTTGTGTTTAGAGTTGTTGAAAAAGGTCGTGTCTATATAAAAGTGTAGTTTGATTGCTCGAGGGCGAGCAAGGGTTTAAGTGTGGGGTGTTTATGGTAGGCTATAATCTCATATTTTAGTCGCTTATTACACTCTAATTCACTGCACTCTATTTGTGTTTGAGCGTTAATTGGTAGTGTTTTGCACTTATTGTATGTTTTATCCTTGTAGAAGTGATTCCGAGCTATTTGGAGTTTTGAAATCTGAGTAAAAGCTCAAGGGATTAATCCGGGATCGTATTCGGGGGTTGAGGACCAAGTCTGGACATCAAAAATCAAGCAAAAATCCATACTTTTAGAAAACTCCACAACCGCGGCACGTGGGGCGGCGCATAGTGCGTCGCGGCTGCCCAAATCCTGTTGCATGTCAATTGTTGAGCTATCTGAATTTCCCCACTAATGCCCCGCATGGCGAATCGCCCCATGTGGCGCGCATGTGTTATTTTTACAGAGCCAATGTTCTATTTCGGCTAGGAGAAAGTGGCTTCTCCTGGTTTGGGATAAATACATGGAAAAACGTTATTTTCTGAACTTTTGACATACTTTGGACCTAAGGAGGCTAAGGAGGAGTTGGAAGAACACAAGCACAAGGATTTCATCATTCATTCCTCACTCAAGACCCGAGTTTGGATCGAATCTATGTTTTCCTATACTTCAATTTTATTTGTGTTGAATTGCTCCATATCTATAGAGTAGTTCTCTTTAAGCTTTGATGGGTTTGCTATATTGATGATTGTTTGTGGATTATAACTCTAGTTTTATGTATTGAATCGTTTTGGATAAATTAATTATTGCATCTATATTCACTAGTTCATGTAATCGAGAGAGGCATAACTTGTGATATCTTTGCATTATATTGTTGGTTGAATTCATTAATTCTTCTTAGTAATCGAAAGAAGCTAGTTGAATCATTGATTAAACCTAGTTAGGAGAATAATCGAAAGAGGTTTTCCTAAAGACCAATCCACTACGCATTCTTGCATATCTTCACGTGCTTAAATTGGTTCATCTTGTGAGGTTAAGACTTAATCGAGAGAGGAGTTTTTGCCTAACGTTTGAATTAATAATTGAGTTAATTCGAGAGACTCACTTGAACATTAGAAGTGAATTATCTAGAGTTAGATTCCGAACAATTATCTTGCACATATCCTATCAAAACCCTATCTTCTCCCATTGATAACCTTCTTTGTGTATTCCTTGTTTTGATTGTCATTAATCAATAGCTTTAGAATTCTTAGCTAATTTTAGTTAGATATCTTATAAATCTCAACTGTTGATCATCTTGGATAGCAACCAAGCTAGAAACTACGAGAATATTGTTTAAATTCAATCCCTGTGGAGACAATATTATACTATACTATATTTGATTAGCGAGCAGAATTTAAGTGTGTGTTTTGCGCTCGTCATCACTTACAAATAAAAAATTTCCATTGTTAGCCATGTTGAGCCTATAGACCATTTCCTTGGCACCCACATTACAAGTTGTATCCCTATTTTTGTTCTTAACTTAAGCATGTTGAACCTTTACCTCTGAAGGCACTTAGTCGCTTAAAGAAGTAAGGTGAAATATTGGGAAGTAGCTTTTGAGTGGAACCATGGAAGGGCCCGCAAGGTGCACAAAAGTTGTGAGAGGTTGGCCTGGGGGTAAGAGAAAGGGTAGAGGTAGGCCAAAGAAGTCTTGGAGAGAGGTGATCAGACAAGACGTGTCACAACTTGAGCTGACCGAGGACATGACCCTTGATAGGAGAGTGTAGAGGTTGAGAATTAGGGTAGAAGGTTAGTAGGTAGTTGAGTGTTGCCCTTTGTCTTCCTTAGTTCAATAGCATTAGTGTTAGTATGGTATCATTTTTACCCTTAGTTTGCTATTTCCATACATCTTGTACTGTTATTACTTGCCATCAGTACCCCCTTAATTTGCTATCACTATATATCCTGCACTGTTATTATTTGCTATCAGTACTTCTTTAATCATCTTCGTTTCTATCTTGGACTTAGTTTTCTAAATATCATGTATTGTTATTACTTGCTATCAGTGCTTCTTCCAACTTTTCTTTACCTGAGGGTCTATCGGAAACATTCTCTTCCCTTCCAGGGTAAGGGTAAGGGTAAGAGTAAGGTTGCGTACATCCTACCCTCCCTAAACTTCACTTGTGGAAATACACTGGGTTGTTGTTGTTGTTGTTGTACTTAATCCAATCTTAGTGTTACCATTTCTTAGTTTTATTTCTTCTTTTTTACTTGAATAAATTCAGAATATTTATTTTTTATTTATTTAAACATAAATATAATATTATTATTTGCTAAATTCAAGGAGTTGAAAATTACTTTTTCTCACTATTGATTATTATTCGAATATTTACTTGAATAAATTCAGAATATTTATTTTTTATTTATTTAAACATAAATATAATATTATTATTTGCTAAATTCAAGGAGTTAAAAATTACTTTTCTCACTATTGATTATTATTCGAATATTGGTTGATGATTTTATTGTTTCAATAATCTCTTATAATATGTTATATGATAATTATTTATTTTTACACAAAATTAATTAACAAAATATCACATCAAAGAGTGCAAAATATTATTTAAGGATATTTATACCAAAAGTTGAATCATGGTATAATTTATTTATGTTAAAATATTTATATCAACAATTGAATTATGATATACTTTGTTTATGTTAAATGAAATTCTCAATATTCTTGGTATACTTATATAGTATATCCTGATTACTGAAGAATACCTTTTAATATACTCGAATAAAATATACCATGATTAAATATGAATTACGGGTATATTCAATGGTATTCATAATATTTTTGGTATAGTTTGTAGTATACTTTATGATAAATAATATCCATAATATTCCTGGTATATTGCATAGCATACCATAATTGTAGTTGGTATACCATGATTACTGTTTAATCATGGTATACTTTATTTGAGTATGTTAAATAGTATACCAAATATTCTTGATATATTATATATTGGTATACCATGATTAGTTTAAAATTTTGGTATTCTCAATACTCTTTGATATAGTATACATTGGTATACCATGATTAGTATTCAATCGAGGTATACTTTGTTAGAGTACGTTAAATGATATACCTAATATTCTTGGTATACAACATATTAGTATACCATAATTATTGTTGAATCATGGTACTCTTAATATTCCTAGTATACTATACATTGATGTATCATAATTAGCATAGTATACCAAATTTTAAGATTCACCGATTTAACTAGAAAGAACAAAAAAAAGGTAAAAAAGAGTGACAAAATTTTGATTTTTAAAAAAGCCTTAATTTCTTTAAAAATTGCAAAAAAATCATTTACAAATATAAAATTAAACAATAAAAAAGATTGACATTATAACTATCGATAACTATAATCGATTAATAATTGTGTAGAAAGTATTCCATTACTAATTTTAGGGCTAGGTTATTAATCTAGAAAGAACAAAATCAAAAATAAAAGTGGAATAAAGTGATAAAAATTTTAACAAAAGTTTACAAAAAATAATAGGAAAAACTAAGATAAAAAATAAGAATTATATTTTGAACGAACAGATTTTACTTTAAAAATAAAATTTAAAATTTCTTAGCAAACTACAAAAAAAAAAGTTATCTACAAATATTAAATAAAAAATTAAAAGAATAAAAAAGAGTAACATGATAACTCTCGGTAATCCTAAACGATTATTGATTATGTAGAAAATATCCCAATACAAATTTTAATACTCGGTTATTTAATTAAATAAATAAATAAAAACAAAAGTGAAAGAATGATAACAGTTTTTTGCGGAAGAATTTTACTAAAAAATAACATAAAAAATTAAGATGAAAAAGGGAAAAAAATAAGTGATAAAACTTTTTTGATGGGGAGATTTTAGCGGAAAGAATAAAATTAAAAAAAAAGGAACATAACAAAAAATAAAACACAAGATAAAAAAATAAATTAAAAAAGAGCGAGGGGTTACTACTAGAAAGAATAAATAAATAAATAAATAAAAAGAGAATAACTACAAAAAAATAAGAAAAAATGAATAAGAGTGCATAATTTTATTAGAAAGAAAAAAACAAAGTGAAAAATAACAACAAAATATGAAAAAATAAAAAAGTAAAAAAGACGAAAAACAAGTGGAAAAAAACAAAGAAAAAAAGGAGGACTTTTGGTGAAGCCCAACCCCTGGGCATAGAAAAGAGGGGCAGCCTGGTCTTAAAATCTTCAAAAGGGGCATGTTTTGTCTTTTTCAAAAAATGAAGCATTTTGGTCATTAAGTCTTTAAAAGGAGCTCTAAGTGTCATTTTCTCTAAAACAAATATAGCACATATTGCAATCAATTGGGAAATAAGCCCAATCACTTCGAGTCTTGAACAAAGTAAATACTGCATTGACGATACAATTATACTTTGCACCTTGATAAAGGCTCTTCTGCCCTTGTGCTTGTTTACTGGACACGAATTGACAAAAGAATCTAATTTCAACTTGCTTCTTTTATAGCTCCTCGAGTGCTACAGGTATCCACTTACTATCTTGAATAGGGATTATCAAGCTCCATTATTACCTTTAAGATTTATGATAGCAAGCTCTTGTTCAACAAATTCACCTGCACAAATGGGAGGATACTTGCTTGCAAGAGGAGTGTCTGAAAAATGCCCTAAAGGTTTTAGCACTGCATCTGATGCTATGTGTGCGAATAGCTAGCAAAAAAGAACAAGTCCAAGTTAGCATCACTTTCAAGAAGTTAACCTTCTAACAATTGCAATTGTTATACTGGGAATCAAAACAAAAAAATTGACCCCAAAAGAAGGTTCAGCTAAACCGCACTCACTCACCGTTGAGGATACTCTCCACAGACTGCGATTTTGCTCCAGAGCTCGTTTAATTGCATCAGTGGTCCTATTAGTTACAACAACCTCATGCATTCCAGCCATGCATTCTCCAGCTGTCAACCATTCTAACTGAGATAATCAAAAACTGTCGCAGCTGAAACTTCCATCAATATGTCAAGGTAAATAGGGATATACTTACAAAATGAATGGACCTATGAAACTATGATACGGTTCCTGTGAAGTTAACAATATATCTTGATTGGAACATTTAGCATAGTAACATTACATTTGCGCCAGACACTTCTGCAGTGCTAATATTGAACTGAGAATAACTTGTTCCAATGGTCTTACAAGAAGTGTACATATTTAGAACTTATTCAAACACAGAAAACGATCAAACATGTCATTTGTTTAACTTTTCTCCAATAAAATTGACAAAACATGGGACCACAGTTTATAATACTATATCTTCGGCTGTTTCTTCCTAAATGAAACTAATCATGTTTCCCAATTGTGAGCGAAACCCATGATGCAGAGCCCTTTGAATTTGCATGCCAAAGTAGAACTCTTGATGATTTAAACAAGTGTGTATCAAGAGAACAATGGCCTATTAAGGTTTTTACTGTAATTTAGGGTCTTGGAAAACTAAGGAAAGTCTAGCATAGTGGTTGCATAATCATTTTAAGACCCTGTTTATGTTGATTGCTGGAGCTAGCAGATTTACATGTTAAATGCATTAATACTGTCATGAAAATAAGGAAGTGCATCAAATTCTTTATACCTGCTTTCCTGTCTGAATAAGGAGGCATCCTACAGGAACCTTCACTTCCATCTTTTGCCCATTTCTAAGCCAAATACTTAGACCAGGAAATCGACTTCTCCCATGGATTGTAAGGAAGTTCAGGTCATAGTGGTATCCTGCAAATACTGTTCCCTCTTTGGCATAACGCCTCAGGTCGCTTCCCGTTGGAGCAAGCAGATGTGGTCCCTGGAAATTGGAAGTAGTCAAAAAGGAAGGAACTACATAAAAGTAGAAAAAAATAAATTGGTGCCCTATGTTAAGAAATTTCAGAACATTTTTAGCTCAGAAAGCATATTATGCTCGTACACCCAAGAACATTGATATTGGGTCCCAAGTACCATTTAACATGCTTGAAGCAATAAAAAAAGACTTGAAAATTTTCCTTTCAGAAAAACAAATCAGTTTGTTTTCTTCCCATTTTTTTTCCTTGCCCTAAACCATTTTAAGCAACACTCTGCTCGTAAAGCAGGGGAATGTTAAGAGTTGTCATATCATTTATATGATTCTTGTTACTATTTTTGTTCAATCTGATATTAGGCATTTCACTACTCACTATGAGGACCCAGACTATACAGGATTTTCAGTGAGAGACGAAGGGTGAGAACAATAATCATGCATCATGTGTTCAATTCATGAAGTTAAGGGCAAGATTAGAATATCGATTAGTGCTTTCCAGAAATACAATTTGCCTTTTAAATAATATTGAGTAATTTGATGCTAACTTTACCAAATAAGTCATACATTACACGAATTCGAATCTGCCCAGACCCTAACCTATTCAACTCCATGCCCTTAAACCCAACCAAAAAAGGGGAGAATCACTATTCCCCATAATCCCACACAAAATCTGCAGACCAGGAAACCTATTAATCCAAAATGTTCTTTGTATGTCAATGATATGAAGCTCATTAGACAGAAAAGGAAAGCCACAGTGGTAACAGCTACGGATGTAAGGAAGGCAGCGAAAGGTCATTTGAACAAAAGGAAGGGATGTTTAAGTCACAATGATAACAGAAACTGAAATAAGAAAAGCAGGGAGATCAGTTGCCGTATTTTTAGATATGAATTTGCTTCTTATTCTGATACATTCTAGCAAAGATAAAGATGTATTATTAGAGGGTGTTTGGCTAAGCTTATAAGCTGGTCAAACTGGTTTATAAGCACTTTTTGGCTTATCTACGCGTTTGGTAAAATTAAAAGTGCTTATAAGTTAAGTGCTTATAAGCCAAAAATAAGACAAAAGTCATAAGCTGGTCTCCCCCAACTTATCAAATTTCAGCTCATAAGCACTTTAGGTTTGACCAAAATATTTACTATTCTATCCCTAAAATACTTCTTGTTAAAACAAAACTCTTCGTATAGTTTTACTCTATCCCAGTTCTTCAAAACCTAAACAGTCGTTGCCTCTGCAATTCTCCAGTCGTGCCTCTGCAACAGTAGAGGGGTTGATCTTACTGCTTCCTCTGTTACGTGGAATTCCCTTCTTTCGTTCTTCTCTGCTCGTGGGTTGTCCATTGGTGACTCTGATTCTCGCGCTCTCATTGTTGAAGGAAAGCTCTGTAAATATCTGCAGTCATGCCTTTGCAACTATCATAAATATCTTGTGGTAACGAAATTCACTTGTCTTCTTAAGGCTGCTTTGTTTCAACAGTACTGATTGTTGTGTTAATGCTACTGGATATTGACAGTAATATTTAAGGCTACTTTGTTTCAAGAGTGATTGCTATGTTAAATATGACATACAGTTGTGTTATATTTTTAAGCAACTTTGGAAAATCATATATATAGTCAAAGATGATGATTAAATACAAACAAATCGGATATCATTAATGTTAAGATCAGCAATTATCTTGAAAAATACAAACGGTAATTTGTAAACTTTTATTGCCACCTAAATCACATACCAACAAGAATGAAGTAAGGCCTCATTTTGTATCCTCTAATGGGAAGAGTATCAGTTAAAAGGCCCCAAAGAGGCTTCACAATCCAAGGAAGTTGAATTATCCTCTATTTTGCGAGATATGCCTTTTTATCATATTGACACTCAAAGAGATATCGTATTGGCTACAATGGCGATTCACAATTACATTAGAAAGAAATGTAAGGTGGACAATGCATTCCAAGAAGCTGAGAATGAGAGATTTGTGCCGCGTGTTGATCCTGATGTTGGAAGATCCACAAGAGTCAACATTGCAAATGAAGAAAATATAGAAAATCAATGAGATAATAATATTTGGATGGCAATTTGTGATCTGATCGCTCAAGATATTTATGATAGTTGAATGTTTTAATCTTATTAATTACAAACAATACATATTAAGTGCTTGTTTCTTCTCTACAAACACTGTGCATTATTTAAGGGTTTTTTCTTAACTTTTGTTAATTTATACTCCACCCCTTCTAATTTATGATTGTATACTTATCATAACATAAATTATATTTATAAAAAAAGATATTATCTAATCATTTTTATAATTAAAATAACATGATAAATAGGTAGAATCTATGTAGAATCTAAAATTTTGACGAAAATAACGTTTTTAGTAGTGTAAATTGTTATAAGGTCATTTAAGTCATTTTAACATAAAAAGAGCTTATCGGCACTTTTTAATCAAACAGTTTCAGCTGCTTATTATTAATTTCAGCACTTTTATCCAAACACGTAATTGCTTATTTTTTAAATCAGATTCAGCACTTAAAAGTATTTTTCAGCACCTAATGCTTATCAGCTACTCTAAATCAACTAAGCCAAACGGGCTCTTAATGTAATAGATCCACAGAACAAGTTGAAAACAAGTGAAGTGATGCAACAATCTTTGTAAGCTAGAGAAGTAATACTAGAAATATGAGTAAAAACACACCATTTTCACATGAAAAACTGTATTCAAGCTCTCGATGAATCCGATCATATATCAATTTCACACCTAACAAGAATCAGTCACACTTAAACAATTTTAGGCATATCCATTATTCATTGCATGCGAATTTAAGTGTAATTCAGCACATGGTCTCCCTTTGCTTTGGGGGTGAAGGAGGAGTTCTTGAGTTATAACACAAAACCTAAGTTGCTCCGACAGGGCAGTTTAGGTGTCGCACCCGTGTCGACACGACACTAGCATGGGTGTGGGTATGGGATCCGTATTGCATCTGGTCAAACAATTTTGGGTACTTTGACCGACGGATTCGAGACGAGATACAATTTGATTCCCGAAATCAGAACCAAAACTAGGGTAAATTTGAAGAAAATAGCATACCTTATCTAGGAAATCAAACATTTACTTATCTACAACTTGAGAATAAAAAAAAAATCCGCACTTAACAAGCTATACATATGTATTCCACAAAATTTCTCATAATTTAGAGATATTTTATATTTTTCTTTATTGAATTATTTTTAGTAGGATCCCCGCACCTATATCCGTACTAGGATCCGTATCCCCGAATCTTAGAATTTACATCTCGAAGGATCAGACCTCTAGATCTGCGCCCATGTCGGACACCCGCACCCGTGTCCGAGCAACTTAGCACAAACCAGCATCATAACCGACAAACAATAATTATTAAGTCTTCACATTCAACAATACACCAGTAATCAGTTGGAGATGCAATAAAAAAGTTTGCCACTGACATAAAATAATAGTCACCTGTTGCATTAGGGAAGTAAATGCATCCTTTGACAGACCAAAACCAATGGCAGCCATTTCAGCAACACACTGAAAAAGAGCAAGCAGTCACATTCCAGAATTGTCAAACCAGTAGCATAAATAAAAGATACAAATGCTTATGATCCACCTCTATAGCAGATATCATCTTATATCCCCATGAGTCCATAGTACATTTCCATTCAGGAAAGCCCTCTGGTATTACTGGCTCTGAATTCAGTTCCTACAAGAGTGTAATGCTTGTTTACTTACTAGCAGCAATTTTTAGTACTTACAGAACTAATTTTATCCACTGGTAGTGACTAAAATTAAGGAATGTCACTGATCAATCAAATCTTTGAATAACATGATTGAAATGGGGAAATGAGTGAAGAAACCTTAAATTGGGTAATCTCCGGACGAGGACCAACTCTCCACATATATCGCCATTTAGGATCTGGTCCAGATGGACTAGATGGTTGATATTCTTTAGGCATTGCTTTAAGCTTCTCTTTCATTTCCTCATCAACCAGGCTACGAGGGACTTCAACTCCTTCAGGTGTCACCCCGACCTGTCAGACATTGACATGAGTAGTCTTCCAAATAAGAAGCTTAATGAGTAGAGTTGGAATTTATTGAACAAAATGAACAAATCCTTTTTTTCGAGCTATTAATTGATAATAATAGCTGTCGCTTCTATATAATTGACAGCAAAACCCTGAGAAAGATAATGAAAACAAAAGAAGTTTGTCAAGAATAAACATGTAGTACAAGCAGCAGAAACTAGAAAATTTTACTATTCAATGCCCTTTCCAAATGAAAGCCAGATGTTCTGCACCTATTAGTTCCAAAATCTTTTACCATACGCTGCTGTACAGCATATTGGCAGCCTATAAGTCCAGAGCATCTTGTTCTATGCTTATCTAGCTAATATTTGGGATCCCATCAACCAATTTGCTAGAAAGCTTAGATATTTATAGTTAATACAGAAAATAGAATCATCAAATGAAGGTATTACTGGTGCTCTTTCAATAATGCAAAAGCAAAACCTTGGGTATGTAGATTTTAAGACCAAGCACCTAAGGCTTAAGTTAAGCAAACATTGCAATAACTTGGGTATTAGAAATTCATATTATAAAATCATTATTCCTTTTACGCATTTTAGTCTTGGGATTATTAATTAACGAATCACACTTTTCTAAGGAAATCAATGGACTCTCACTAGCCTAAAGGTGCAGTATGTGTAGCTAGAAAGCAGATCAATATCTGTAAGTACTATAGTTTCCTTTTAATCATGGAATGTGCTGAAAGTCTTCTCAACAAAAATGACGCCGATCATTTATCCTACAAAATTTAGCTTTGATTTTACCTTATTATTGCCCAGATTTCTTCAATCTTTCATCTCGAATTTTATGACAGTGTGGATGGAAAGAAAACTGTTCTTTGTTGCAGGGAACAAGTCACCTGAAACTAAAGAAAATGGGAGACAGAGACTGTTGGTATATTTGGGTGGAAAGGAAGAACTTTGTCAGTAGAAACTCCATCAACGCACAGATGCTACTATGGGTTTCTCAGGTTCTACATTTGGCGTTGGAGGGTACTGGTAAAGTGCAGACAGTGGAAAAGAGCTGAACAGCAATATGAGTACTTCGCCTTTCAAAACTTAAACAATTTTGGCAGACACCTAAGGATTTTGGCAACTCAAGGAAAGAAGACAAGTACCATTATCATCCCAGAAATAGTGCAAAATGCAGGGAGGGTTGATGTTGCGAAGAAGATTAAGAATTACTTAGAAAAAAATGGATGGGGTCACCAGAATCTGCGGAATCTTCAACCTCATAAATCTTACAAGGAGCTAGCAGAGAGATGGCTTGGCCTAAAGCTGGGTGAGGGCAGAGACAATTCCGACAAGCAGCTCAAAGTTCGTAGAAGTTTAGGAAGAGATTTTGAAACCAAAGCTACAGTTCTTGGAGAGGTGTCTGGTGGGTAGACTGGGGGATATCACCACTGAGATCCCTCTAGTCTCAGAAGTTGAAGGCTGGGCTCGTAGAAGTTGGAAGGTTCTGGGGAAGGTCAAGATAACAGAAATGAATGGGGGCTTCTTCCTTTTCGATTCCCATCCAAAAGGGAAGCGGAAAGGATAAAGATGGGCAATTGGGATCGAAACGACCGTAGATGGCATCTGGACTGATGGGACTTCATAGAGCAGATTAGAAACCAAACCATTTCTGGGTTACGTAGCTTAGGATTCCTTTACCTGCTCGTATTTGCATCATGTAGACTGACGGGACGATTTCGGCAAGGGTGGAAGTTAAGGTAGGGCAGTTCATTTATTCTATACTTCTGCGAATTGAAGCTACAACTTGGGTGGAAGATGATCGAAATCTCAGAATACCGGCAAGGAGAGTTGAAGCCGACGATGCTTCTGACGCTGATGAAGGCATATCCAAGAAGAGACACAGTCATTATACACAGATTAAAAGATGGTTTTCCAACCAGTCAAAAAGTTTCTGGTAAGGTGGTTGATCAGCATCTGTCTCACTTTAATTCAAATGAGGCATGCATTGTGTCATTGCTACGTGCCAGTGATGAGAAGTTAAATTTTATCACAAACTGGGAGCCTTCCTACAGCATACCTTGGACTCCATTTGGGGGCAAAATCCAAAGCATCAGTGATATGGAAGAGTTATCTGGAGAGATGTGAAAAAAGGTTATAATTGAAAACGTCAATATCTCTCTTCGGGTGGCGGGTTGGTTGGTTGGACAGGAGCATTGTACTGGGTGATTTGGAACTCTCCGAGAGCCGTTGTGACTTTGGGTACTGCAGGCGGATTAGAGTTGATGAAGTTGGGGGGCTATGCGTAAGATGAGCAGGGGCAAAGCGGCCGGGCCGGATGAAATCCCGGTGGAGTTTTGGAAGAGTGCGGGCAAGGCAGGCTTGGAGTGGC